ATATTTTGGGATTGACTTTAACAAAGCATTGTGCTTTAAAAGTTTAAATAAATATAAATTTTAACAGTAAGGCTTTTGATATGGGCTATAAAACTTTCTGAAAATTTATTTAACTGCTTCATTTTAACTTATCAATTATCAAAGAAATCTAAAATGTTTAAGGGAAATCCTATAAGGAAAGCTAAAGCCCATTTGTAGCATCTAAGCGGCATTCAAAGTTACATACATGCACGCATGAAAATGAATTTTATCACAGAAAAATTATAAAAATATATTTTTCGGTGCGTTTGATAGTGACTTTCCGACAGGCTTAAAACAATGATCTGGCGAAGTTATTCTGCAGGCATTCTATATTAACTTCTAAATGTAAAATCACTAATTAATTTAGAAACTTACATTAGAAAATCTTTAAGAATAAACCTTATATAGTCAAAGGCATTTGTGAAAGTATGATATTAGAGAAGATTTTTTTATGTAAATAAGATTATAATAAATCATCGTTTTGCTTATCTCAGCTATATTAAAGAGTCATATCTAATACTCAGACTTTTCTTGCCTTGTATATAGCATCAGTCATGCTTGGAATAAATAATATATACTTAAATCTTGTAGAAATACCAGTTAGATACGAAACGAGTATCTTTTCTGTATTTTTGTTCATTCATTGGATAGTGTCTTTAATAGCTTACTTCTAGGATAACTTAATGGATATTAATGCATTAAAATCCCATCCAACTCGGGCCGCGAAGAGGATTGGAATCTTTCTACATTTGATGCATTATTGTAGTCTGTGAAATGTAAACATATTGAGTACGACCTGTCATGGAACTTCTTCCTATAACATAGGGCGATTGCAGCATACGTTGCACATCATGATTTAATGTGAGGGCAGTTGAAATTATGGTATTTTGGTTGTATCTGTAGGCGTTAAATTTAATTTATATCCTGGTTTCTGAAATATAAGTTGATCCTGTTAACACCATAAAATGCATTCGATTTTACAATATTAAACTCTTTTTTAATCTCTGTATTTCAAAAATTTTACTTTATTAAAATCCTTTCCGCTTTACTTGCGATAGTGCTTTTAAATATCTGCGGAGCTCTCAACTTATTCAGTATTCTACTAACGCTGATCTCCCTCTTTTTGATGGCATACGGAATGCTTACTTACAATATCGGAAGAAAAATTCTAACTTACAACGTTATCGTCGGACTCAATTGCGTTGCAAGTAAGCTTTCCAATTAGTTTTTCGTTGAATATTATATACGAAAAATATTTATTTTAAACCAAAACTAATTGAGCAGTATTTATATATATATATATATATATATAAACTAACTATCAAAGTCTAAAGAGTACCTATAGCACAGTCCTATATAAAAAACGATGGCCTTGAAATTTTTATAACCCCGTTTGCAAAACAAAGTAGCACAAAAAGCGGCATTCAAAGCAGACATGTATGAAAGAGTAGCACTAAAGCAAAATCTTAATGCTATGCTTCAGTATACCTTGGCTGCAGAGAAAGCTTAAATTTGCCAGTATAAGATATATTTCAAGTTTTTATCATTCCACACTATACTTTTTTATATAAATTAGTTCATATTTTACACATTTATAAATCACACATTTTAATCTATCTTATATCATCTATCCATGTTTCTATTAGCTTTATGCGTGCTTGTCCTTAATAAACCTAAATATAAATCCCTTTTTTTTGTTTCATTGCTCAAAATCTTCCGATATCACCTAAAAATACCTACCCTATTCAAAGTGTTCGCTATGTTGGGAAGTCTGGTCACTTTCCCTATCCTCTTTTGGCTTCAATTTTCTGACCCTGACATTCGGACTGGGGGTCACTGGCACGGTGGTGGCGTTTCAGTGGGTTGGTCACTTTACGTTGGAGTAGCAGGAATCGTTCTTTTGGCAGCAGCAACAGGCCTATTAGCAGTTAACAAATTTGGTGAAGAGGTGATATATCGGGAGAAGATAATAAGGGCTTCCGAGGACCCTGGAGTGGAGGCATAAGATTTTTTTTGTACGCTAAACAAAATTATAAATATATGGAAAAACTTCGCAGAGCTCATAATACATACAAACGTTAGATCAAGGTTATACATTCGACCAAGCCGAGCAGCATTTGAGATAAACCATCAAAATTCACAATAAAAATTTAATCAAGCGAAAGGAAAAAGTAAATAATTTCTTGATTTTTTTGGTTTTCCTGACTTCTATTTGAAAGAGACTCGATTTTCAGCCTCTCACAAAATGTATATCTTAACCTTCAAATTCTTAGCAGTTACTGATCTAAGGAAAATCGTTAACACCAGGAGCAAATTTTTTTCTAAGAGCTATAGAGCTAAAATAAATTGTATCCAATCTATCGGTAAATTCTTGGATAAACTTCATCTCTTTTTCCTATAATTAATATTTCATTTCGAGAACATCAGCATTTTCACATACCAACGCGATTTTGTGACATTTGTGTCTCTTTCTAGAATCTTCTATTCTCTATTGCTCTATTCTTCAAAGGTTTACACCTATTCTTTTATAATTTACATGATATTTCCCTCATCAATTAAAAATTTCTTTCTTAAATTATGCCAAAGGATGTTATGCAAATTCAAACTTGCATAGCATTTCAGCCGTCTTGCTTCACAATTCTCAATTAATTTCCTTTTGAACAATTTTAAGTCACAAATTATGCGTCATTCTCTTTTTTCCACTACTGCAAAGTTAAATGTTAATAGCTTTCCTTTTTTCGTGGAGCACTTCCTCTTTTGGCAAATAGTTCTATTCAGGTCTGAGACTGTTCTTACTAACCTCATCCTGATGTGTAAACTTGAGTATCCTGAAGGGTACCCTGTTTGTTCGAATTTTTCAGTCATTATTTATGCTTATTAACTCTCTTTTCAGATATTGCAATCGACGCAGATGACTGCATTTGTATAAACCTTGTAAGACATAGTCTATCTGCCAAAAAAATTATCCTATCTTGGTTAATTAAGCTGTTTGAATTTTTTTGAACATTTAAATAACGTATGCTATTTAAATTTTTTCAGAGTTCCAGAGAATATTATAACTTGCATTTTTACGGAAGATAATATTTTGCTGTGAAGCTTTATTCTAATGTTTTTTTTCTCCAGCTCTCTTTATTGTATTTCCTCTTGATTATTTCTGTTTGGACAAAAGACCGTTTAATGCATCTCCCATGCAAGGCTCTCAATCCAAAGGATACAATATCCATATTCTACCACTTCTAGGTGGTCTGATTTGCTTGTTTTTTCCAAATAACCTCAAAATAAGTGAGGCTTTTA